AGTCAGTGTTACTGATGGAGGAATGAATCAGAAAGAGAGAGAGGGAGAGGAGTGGAGGGAGGGAAGGGAGAAACATGGACGAGGCACCTGAGAGTTTGCACTTGAAAGATGAAGATGGGCTTGTAATGAACAGTGAGGTAGCTGGATTCAGTGCAGATTTAACTCGTAGAGCACTGTTGATAATAATTTTTCCTACCTCTGTGTTCTCTGGCTCAGGGGTCCCCAACCCCTGAGCGGCTGACTAGTACTGGTCCAGGGCCTGTTAGGAACCAGGCCGCACAGCAGGAGGTGAGCAATGGGCAAGGGAGTGACGTTTCATCTGTATTTGCAGCCACTCCCCAGCCCTAGCATCACTGACTCAGCTCCATCTCAGATCATCAGGCATTAGGTTCTCATAGGAGCACCAGTCCTTGGTGCCGAAAAGGTTGGGGACCTCTGCTCTGGCTGACCCTCCCTCTGGCCCTCTTTCTGGGGATAGAAGCTGTTTCGTGCTCCATATCCCCCCAAATTCAACCCAACCCTACTTACTGGACAAGCAAGGCTGACAGCACCAGGCTCTTGGCCAGGAGAAGTCCACAGAGCATGGAGACCAGAGCACTGCGGGGCTGCAGGGCTGGAGCAGAGGGTGGAGTTTTGTTTCCTGGAGGACAGAGGGACAAAAAGGGGAGAACACCAGGCTGAGGTCAGAGCCTCTGTCTTGGGTCCCTGAGCAAGGCCTGTGTGAATGAGGGTCTCACCCTGAACTCACCGTGAAGGAACAGTGATGGCAGAGGAAACCCTGGGGGCCTGTCTGGCTCTTCCAGCGGGGGATATGCAGCTCTGGGTCTGTGATGAGACCAGGCCATGGGGAGCCCAGGTGGCTTGCACGGAGGCAGAGGCTGCTAAGGAAAGAGAAGGGACCTTGGTTAGTGGCAGGACAGCCTACCTGTTCCTGCTAACAGAAAAGCTAGAAAAGGGATCTGGGATGAACTGGGAACAGAAAACCATTGCCCTAGGAGAAAACCAATTTGGGGGTTGGGGACTGTGTTGTGAAGTCTTTCGGCTCAGGACTAGACAGACCGGTGGCCCAGGCTCTATCTAGTGCCTATAGAGGTATCAAAAACACTTGAATAGGAATCAGGAGGCCTGAGCCTTCCTCCACGCATTTCTACCTCTTTGCATGGGCCCTCTCTACCTCTCAGCCTCCTCAAGTTTGGACACAGTCACAGCCTTTAAGCTGCTCTCATCTCTGACATCCATGCCCTTTCTCACACTTCTGAGGCTATTAAGGGAAGGATACCCTTCGTAGAGAATTTTAAGGACATCCCTGTGCCTCCTGCTTCTGTGGCTAAGCCATCGCGTAGGTTTTTACCCACTGTCTCAGCAGCTTGGATAAGTACCTTTTATGGGACTCCTCTTGATTCAGAGACTTTGTGAGCTGCTTGCCCACTGCTCTGCTTTCCCAGTAACATTCCAGATCTACCTGTGCTCAGAACCTGTGATGGAGGCTGGGGGAAGTTATCTCTAGAAAAGTGATGGGGGCTTTTGAGGATGAAGACAAAGTAATGGTTGCTGGGGGAGGGTGGCAGGCCCGGAAGGGAAAGAAGTGGCATCAGCCCCAAGGCTGTGATAGGAAGTGGGGACTCTTAGTGTCCTTGACTAGGTCTGAACTTCCACCCAGGGGCCATCAGCTCCCCTTAGGAGCAGCCTCTCCTAAAGCTGGGGGAAAGAGAGAGGTAAGGGCTAGGAGATGCCTGGAAGAGAGGGTACCTGAGGGCCAGGGGCTGCCCTGGGAGGTCTTCCCTGGAGAGAGCTTGAGGCCGACGGACATGTAGGCAGGATTCTGTCCCACAGGGGCACCCTCTCTGAGGCTTCCCAGAATGAGTACCAGGAATAATCCATTTGCTCAGCCTGGAGGAGGTCCTTGGGACGCTTGGGGAAAATTCTAGTCCTGAGCTACTGAATATGTGATCTATGGACTGGTGTTGGTTCACAAACTGTAACCTGCCTGAAACAAGGTAAATATAGAAATTGGAAGTAAGGATTTTTAAACCTTTATATCAATTTGACATTGTCTCAAGTTCTAAACATGTGATTAGTCTGGTTGAACAGAGTGTAGATCAATTTGGGTGTTGTCAAATGTTGTGGAGAGCTGCACAAGGAACAAGCATTGTACTAGAAACACACAGTAGGATCTATGACCATGACACCCTGAACGTGCCGGATCTCATCTGATCTCCGAAGCTAAGCAGGGTTGGGCCTGGTTAGTGCTTGGATGGGAGACCACCTAAGAATACCAGGTGCTGTAGGTGTTTAAAAAAAAAAAAGAAAGAAACACATAGTAGGACTATGTTCCCGTGTGTGATACGTCGAAGTTAGTTAGTTGATCAGCTATAACGCAACAGTGTAGAAACACCTGGAAGAATTATCTTTATAAGTTGTTATTTTTATAATCATTAAATTTTTTTTTAAATTTAGAGTTTAACATGATTAGCTAATTTAGAGTAAGGTAGTCATTAGCTAATTCCCAGACAGCAAAACAAAAGACATATGTTTTCTGAATATAGTAATAATAATAAGCCAAATGATGATAGCAGAATTGATTCCGAAGGTATTTTTACTTCTGAAATTATTCGAGAGTCTGGTTTTATTTGAAAATGTAATCCTTAATTGAGGTAGGCAGAATAATGTTACTCCCAACCAACCAAATGTCCACCAAGGTGGCAAAAGGGACTTTTCAGATAAGATCAGGGTGAAATCTCTTGAGATGAAGAGATTATCTGGGTGAGGCCAACCTAATCGTTGCTATTTGAAAGCAGGGAATGTTTCCCAGCTACAGTCAGAGGGTGATGCAAAGGAAAAGGACCTCAGGCTTCGAATGTGGAAGGAGGTGGCCACAGCCAAGGAGTATGGCCGACTCTGAAAGCTGGGGGACCTCTCAGAGTAGAGACAGCAAGAAAACGGGACCTTGGTCTGAAAGCAACAAGGAACTGAATTCTGCCTGAGACCTAAATGAGCAAGAAACGGATTCTCTCTAAGAGCATCCCGAAAGAAACAGCCTGCTGACAGCCTGCCGATGCCTTGGTTTTAGTCCTGTGAGACCTATACTAGACTTCTGATCTACAGAACTGTAAGATCATCAATTTGTATTGTTTTAAGCCGCTACATCTGTTATGGCAGCACTAGGAAACTATGACGCTCCTACTGTGAGAGTTTTGTAGTTATAAATAATGGTGATGTACTAATATCCGATGAGTTATTTGTTCATATGTATTGGCTAATGAAGCAAATCTATCATAATAACAACTGACATTTACATATAGACATAAAAACACAAGTTCAAAACAACTAACTTTTTTTTGAAAAAACGGGTATTGAATTAAAATGCTTGAGAGCAGTCAGTATGTCACATATAAAGTCTAGTGTTCTGTGAGCTGCTTGTGAAGTAACACTCCACATTACTAAGACTAAAAACCTATCTACAATTGCCAAAACATTACCGAAAGACTACCACAGAGATGTTTGCTTCACAATGTTGTGTTAACCTGTGACAAGAAAGCTTAAGCATCACTTTCCATGGACTTTTTAGCTCTGTGTATTCAGGAATTGGCTAATAGTATGGAAGACCAAGTCCTAGAACAAATAAAGCTAGCAAAGTATTTTTCATGGCAACTTGAAAAATGTACATATGTTGCTAACATAGCTGTTCTTTTACTATATGTGCAATTTAAACACAATGATATGAAGGAATTCTTTTGTATCTTTTAGCTTCATTGCCAAAAACACAATCAGCTCTGAATTGTACAAAACGATGAAAGATCACATTATTAACAAGTGATTTGGGGGTTAAGTTTTATGTAGGAGTATGTTCTACTGGCTGCAGCTGCTGACAGAATCATTCTAGACTAGCCATTCAGATTAGGGAGCCTTGGCCAGAATGTAAATCAATGCGCTGCTTTTCTTCAATGAGAAAGTCTTGCAGTGAGAAAAATATCAGCTGAACTGAACAGCTTGCTTTTCAATGTGGAAAATTATGAATTACATAAAGATGAATGTATTGAATTTGAAATCATTCTCTTTGTTATATGATAATATGGAAAGAGCACAGTTGTTTTTACACATCAAATTGCAATGATTGCTGAGAGCAAAAGTTCCGTTGAGAATGTTTGATCTACGGGAAGAACTCCTGAAATTTGGCAAGATAGAAACCAGTTTGGTAAAGATGTGAATTGCTCAGTCAGACTTGTTTATAAGACAGCCTTGATGTTAGTATTTCCATGCAAGGAAAGAAGGCAACATGCTTTTCAATGGCAAATAAAATCTAAGGGCAAAAGTGAAAGTTAGAAGTTTAGAAGAAGAGTTTTGGGAATTGTTATGACATGTTTTTAATTTACCAACAGTTATCACCAAAATAGGTGATAATCTTGATATTGCATATCTATAAAAGTGCTCTTAAAAAAAAACCTTAATAATTTGGTAGAATGTTTCAAATTTTATTTTCTGTCAAAAGAGAATATATGCAATAGGAAATTCATAGATTCAGAATTCATTTTTTTTTCCTCCAAAGATAATTTAAATATAACCTTAACCTTATAAGATAACATTTTGGAACTAGCTACTGGTGGAGGACTGAAAACGAATTGCTTGCTTCTTTTTGTAAAAGCTAGAAGTAAAAATATTGAGCTTGTTGAAATTGCTTTAAAATTCTTTCTTGTATTTCTGTCAGCATAACTCTGTGAGACCAGTTTTCTACTATGAGTGTCATTAAAACATACCATCGAAACAGTTTCTTTATACATTTTTCCCCTAAGGGTTATGGCATCATTAATGTTACTCAGATTAGGTAAGTTAATAACCAAGAAGAATGCTCACCTGTCACATTTAAGCCTTTAAATGTGGATATACACGGTATTTATTCAGTGTAAATACTGGCATTTAATATGAAAAATTGCTCACTTCTAATTTTTTATTTAGTTATGACTGAGGAACAACAAAATGTTACAGATATAATGTTAAGCCACTACATCAATCACCTACAGGCACACTTTCAGTGAACAACATGTGCAGTTTTTATAATTTTAATTTTTCCCCTGTATTATGTTTCTTCCTATTGCATTTGTTGAAATATAATTTTATGTCTATCAAATCTAATAAGCATTTTGGGCTCGTATTTTGTATGTCTGCTTTTTGTTGTTTCTAGTAATTTATTTTTATTATATTTACCAAAAAAATCATTGATGGATTGGAGGATTTTAAAGATCCTCCTCCGCCATCTTAGTCTGCTCAGGCTGCTTTAACAAAGTACCACAGACTGAGTAGCTTATAAACAACAGTTCTGGAGGCTGGAAGTCTGAGATCAGGGTGCCAGCATGGTGGGGTTCCAGTGAAGTCCCCTTTCCAGATTGTATCCTCACATGGGAGAAAGTGAATGAGAGAACTCTCTGGTGTTTCTTATAAAAGGACAGTAATTCCATTCGTGGGGCTCCACCCTTATGACCTAATAATCATTTTCCAGAGGCCCCACCTCCTAACACCATTACACCGGGGGTTGGGATTCCAACATATAACTTTGAGAGATACAAACATTCAGTCCATTGCAACCACAGATATTTTGAGACAATTTGATTTAGCCTGAATTTGGCAAACGTTTTTGTGGAGGGCCAGAGAATAACAAATTTAGGCTTTGTAGGCCATATGGTCTCTATCACAACTACCCAGCCTTGCTGCCGTAGCATAAAAATAACCATGGATAATACCTAAGCAAATGGGCGTAGCTGTTAAAAAAAAAAACCCTTGATTTATGAACTGAAATTTGAATTTCCTATAATTTTCATGTCATAAAATACATTTTTCTTTCAATTTTCCCCCCCAATCATTTGGGAAACCATTTTTAGCTTTCAGATTATTGTTTGCTGATCTCATGACCTGGACCAGAAGGAATGGACAGATTAACATGATACCAACCTGGTGGGTGTGGTTTATGGCCACCGTACACACATTTACTGAGCCCCTACTATGTGCCAGGTACAGGTGCCTTCTCCAAAGATGCCGGACAGTCTTAGGCTCCCTTGTGGCCAGGTCATACGAGCCCAGACTGGTCAACATGCCCAATTGATCTGTTTGAGCATCTTTGGGGAGGCTTGTAATCATCAACACAGATAGAATTGAGGTATGTGTGTGTGTGCGCACACGTGCACACGTGCACATGAGAGTCCTCCGGACACGTGTTCTCAGTAGCCTTCCCAGGGGACCAGGATGGGGAAAGGGGAAGCCTGGCTTCCATAACTAGGAAACCAGGAGGAACCAAAAAGTAGCAAAGGGACCTCAGGGAAGGGGCTCACCTGGAGACACTGCCAGATAGAACCTTTTGGACTTAGAGATAGAGTTGCTGGATGGGTGGTAGATTCTAAACCAGTAGTGTCCTGAGTCTTCCTCCCTCAGACCAGTCATGGTGACAGTGAAGAAGCCAGCGCCAGGATTGTCCCAGATTGAGAATCGAGAGGCCTGAGTCAGCGTGTGGGGCCTAGAGCTGGCGACTAACCTGGCACACTCGTACACTGACACTTCCTTACGCCAGACTTTCTTCTCGTAGGGCCACCCCCTGGGTGGGTACTGGCACCTCACGGAGAGCACTTGCCCCACCATGCTGTGCAGTCGCTGAGCGTTTGATAGTGCCCACGAGCCTGGAGAACAAGGCTGAAGGCCAGGGCTAGGCCAGGACTTGCCCTCTGGCCCCAGAGCTGCTTGCTCGTGCCTCGCTGTCCCAACAGTTCCCATCACACCTCTCCTCTCGTCCTCATGCCTTTCCCTTCCTCCTCACCTGGGAGCAGCAGCAGCAGTCGTCCTGGGAGTAGGGCTCTCCAGGACATATGGCCTTTTTCCAGTGTGCTGGTGGGAGGGGATGTGTTGGGGTGGGGGTGCTGGGGAGAGGGAACTGGTACCGGCCTGATTCTGCTTAGCTCTTCCAGCACCTCTAAGATAGGCAAAATCTCAGGTTTGGGTTGGGGAGTGGGAGACAGGGAGGGCCAGTTCTGCCGGTGGAGGGAAGTGGGGACCTCCAGCTGCAGGTTCGAATCTGACCCTGCTTGGTGGTGCACAGCTCCAGGTCTGTGAGAGGCTGTTCCTCAACTCTGTGCCCAGCTGCCCCTTCCCCCTTCCCAGACCTACCCTGGGGGAGGAGCTTAGAAAGTCAGAAGGAAACTGTGGTTAAGTAATGGACTGCCTGCTCCCCTCCTCCCCTCCCCTCCCCCTCTCCTATTCTCTTTTCTTCTCTCTCTGTCTCTTTCTGTCTCTCTGTCTCTGTCTCTGTCTCTCTCTCTTCTCTCTGTCTGCCCTGCTCCTTCTTTTCAGGGCTCTGGGTTTGTCCCCCTCCCTAGGAAAAGTCACGCTGAATGTGGGTGACAAGCTCAGGGGCACTTAGAGGTCTGAATGAGAGCCCTTATTCCCACTCAGAAGTGGTCAGAAAGTTTATGCCAGGGACTGCCTTGTGGTTTAGTGACGTGTTTCCACCTGGGGAGGTTTCGTGGGTACTGGAGGGGAGAGGAGAGAGGAGGTGGAGATTAAATTCCAGGAGGGATGTGTAGAAAGGGTCTCTGAAAGGAGGGGGGACGGGAGCTGGGAGCAAAGAGAGCAGGGGTCTTCAGAAAGGCTGGTGAGAGGGATGGAGCAATGTGCGGGTGGGAGGAGAAGGGAGCGCAGGGACCTGGACCTGGCATCACCTCTGCACCCTCGACTCCCACCATCTAAGGACACTAGAGAAAGATTTGTGTAATTAACGCAGAAGCACATGACAGACTCTAACATCCCTTTAGTGAATGCTAGCACTTTTAAGATTTAATTTTTAAAAAGATGCAATTTACAAAGAAAAAAGATTTTAAATATATATATATCCAATAATAATTTTATGTATTTAATGACAATATATTACTCAATAAACATATTATTTAATAAGTATGTGTTTAATAAATATATTTAATCAATCACATATACATTTATATATTTAATAAGTTTAATAAATACATATATATATTTAGAGAGAGAATTAGGTGCTATTTGTAATTCTGGTTGTAGCCACTGGGGGTTTGACCAGTCTAATGCCTGCCATAGGGAGCTGTGTGTGCAGAGTTACACTGAAGATGGGAATTGGAACCTATCAAGGGGACTTGATTCTAAGTTCACTGCTTTGCACCCCGCTTCAACCCAACTCCTACTCCTCACTTTGCCTCTGTGCACTGCCCTTCTCCTTAGAGTAGGAGTGAGAGGAGACTGAGGATAAAGGCAAAGGGACAGACAAAAGGAGGATGGATGCAGCAGGGGCATCGGCTGTCAGTGCCCGAGGGACCACAGCGGGGAAAGCAGGATGGAGCTTTAGAGCTAGAAGAAAACCTCTGGAAAAACGCCAACCACCGACATGCACGACGTTAGTTTACGAAGTGTGTTCGTGTGCCCTCTCCTAATGCCCACAATAGGTTTGTAAGGAAACTGAGGCCTGGATCCCTCAGTGACATGCTCAAAGTCACACAGTGAGGTAGTGGTGTTACCAGACCAGGCCTCCTGGTTTACAACTGGAGCCTTTTGGCTGAAGACTGTCTGGCCCACAGATAGGACAGAAAACAAAATTGCACACACAAGCAGAAGCGATTCTGGCCTTCAGCTGGGCTTGGCGTCCCTTCTTTGAACTTAATTATACACCGAATATCGGGAGGGCACTCTCTAAGGGGAGGAAGGTGGCCTTCGCCTAGGATGGCACAGAGCTGTGTCACTGTGTGTGAGGGTGTGGATGGAGCAACAAATTCTTTTCCACGGCGATTTCCTTCTTGTCTGGCTGCTGCTGACCACTGGGAAGGGATGCTTCCTCCTTGAAGGCCCCCTAGATTACTCTTTGCCCACATTCTACTATCCTTGTGGTAGACTCTGGGCTCTGAGTTGTTCTCAGCTGTGTTGGTGTGGTTCTTGCTCCCCAGGGGTTAGGAAGTTCTCCGAGGGTGGCATCTGCCTCTTTCTCCCCGCTGGTGTGAGTAGGATGAGTGCCCTCTGCATCAAGTCAGGGTCTCAGGTTCCCAGGCAAACACTCTGTTGGAGCCTTCTGGACCCTGGCTTCCTTCTGGCAGCTGAGACCTGGAGGCCCAGGTATGGGAGTTGAAGGGAGGGGGCCTGGGCTTAGGGTGGGGCTGGCTCCCAGGGGGCTCAGGACAGCTCCTTTCACAGTTCGAACTTTTGCAGGAGGGGCAGGGACATGTCACTGTGGTGAGATTTAGGGCTTCTTCAGAAGTGTCCTCAAGAAATGGGGGCAAGGAGCCACTATCACATTATTAGGGCAAGATACAGCCCTAAGTCCTGTCAGAAGGCATGGGGTTCGGGGCTCTGCCCACTCTCTGAGAAAGGAACCCTGGAGCCTCAGCAACTTCTGCCCTCACTGTTACACTCACAGTTGCCTGGAGAAGTTTCTGGGAGAAGCTGAAGACATTACATTCCCAGGGTGTCCATTCCTCTCCTCCTCTCCCAGAATAGATCTGGGGGCAGACGAGAGCTCAGTTCCTCTATGAGTAAAATGGGCACAATATGCCTTCTCTCCCAAGTATTTTGAGCTATCCAATGTCCTCCCTTAAAGCTTCCTGCCTATGCCCCCTACTCTGGGGACACTGCAGGGCATCTTGGCAGCCCAGGACATCAGATTTGAGTGGGCTCCTTTCTCCTCAGCCTGCTCCGTAACAGACACAGGTGTCAACTTCCCAGGAGCTGATCAGAAGCAGCTCTGATTTCATTCCAGGTAGACCTGACCCACACCCACTAACTTAGCTCAGCATTGATTGTCTTCCATATCCTGGGTGCTTTATACTGATCACATTTAAGTCTTCTGAGTGTTCTACAAGGTGGACGTTATCAATTCCATTGTTACCAGTGAGGAAACTGATGGGACATGTGCCCAGGCTCACGCGATGAACTGTTTCCCTCAGTGCCTGTGCTCTCCAGCACCTGCCTGCAGATGGGCCTGGTGGTGGGGGTTCAGTCTGGGTAAGAGGGGTGGACCCTGTTCATGGCAGGGATACAGGACCAGGCTGGGGAGCCTGGGCTTCATGGGAGCCAGTGTGGTTCTTGATGAGCAGAGAGGTTGGACCTCTGTTTAAGGGAGCCCTGATCTGGAAGGGAGAGACTACATGCAGGGAGCTCCACCAGGCACCTCTCACTGTCTTTTATGAGGGCTTGGGGAGGAGAGAGTAGGGAGTCCAGGGACCTGATCTGGACACATCTGTAGGTCTTGGTGGCAGATTGAATAAAAGCGATAGAGGACCGATGTATATACAAGCAAGTTCTTTCTGTTTGTTTCTTTTGGAATGTGAGACAAGACATACAGGTTCTAACTCAATTGGCCAAAATTTCCAGCATATGTCGTGCAGTCCAGTTTTCAAGAGTTTTGTTGTTATTGAATGATCAGTGTCTGTCTATTTTGTCTATTAAGGCCTGTTTGAGGCATGTTTTGGAGGATAAGGATTGGGAGGATAAAGATAAGGGTGTATAAGGATTCCAGAACTCTCGCTGAGGTAAATTTGTGTCTTGACTCCAATTAAAAGAACCCATTTCACTCTCCTAATCAGTGAAGCCATCCATATAAAGCCAGGCATGTATAGGAAGAGAGAGCAGCATTCCTG